TGGGCCAGTTCACTGACGACAAGAAAGACTTCTGCTTGTGGGAGTGGGTATTCCTCCCTCATCAATTCTCCAAAACAATTACAACAATTGCAGAAATGATTGGCAAACTAATTTTCAAAGGTCGCACCAGGTGTTTAGAACTCAGTGGAGAGGAGCCAGATTTTATCTACCTCCCACTGACTTCTGAACATCTGGAACAACTGCTGCAGAATTCCATTGATTTTCAGATCGCCATCGAGGGTTACCTGGGAGAAGTCAAATTTCACCTCCCGGCGTGCCCATTTTTACAAAGACTTATTCAGATTCCGCTAAAATTAAAAATTGTGCAATCAGACCTCCCAATTAAAAATGCAAAAACAGTTTTTACCGATGGGTCTGGGAGAACCGGAAATGCAGTTATTGTTTGGAACGAAAATGGTAATTGGCTTCAAGACATTCATAAAGTTCAAGGTTCTCCACAAATTGTGGAATTGTCAGCAGTTGTTCGCGCCTTTCAAATTTTTGATAAGGAACCAATCAATATTGTTTCAGATTCGGCGTATGTTGTGGGCGTAGTAAAAAGGATTGAAAATTCGTATTTAAAAGATGTGTCCAATGAGAATCTTTTTAAGCTGCTAACAAATTTGTTGTTTTTAATTGAAAATAGAGAATTCGGCTATTACATCGTCCACATGAGGTCACATACTACTTTGCCCGGTCCTGTGGCGGAGGGGAACCAAATCGCCGACCATTTGGCAGGTATGTTTGTCACCCCCAATTTATACCAACAGGCAAAAATCTCCCACGAATTCTTCCACCAGAATGCGCGGTCACTACAAAAACAATTCGGTCTCAAATAGGCACAAGCAAAAGAAATTCTAAAAACGTGTCCTGACTGCCAAATGATTACTCCATTGGTTCCGGAAGGAACAAACCCTAGAGGTTTAACTGCGTTAGAGATTTGGCAGTCAGACGTCACACATGTGGCTGAATTCGGCAAATTAAAATATGTACATGTGTCTATTGACACTTTTTCAAAAATGATTGTGGCCACCGCGCATCCTGGTGAGAAAAGTAGGGATGTTAAAAGACATTTTCTGTCCGCATTTGCTAGGATGGGTGTCCCCAAACAGATCAAAACCAACAACGGACCCTCCTATGTATCTGCGGACACGAAAAAGTTCTTTGAGGAATGGGGGGTGCACCATACCACTGGGGTCCCTCACAATCCCACAGGACAGGGCATAGTAGAGCGAGCCCATTAGAATATCAAAAATTTGCTCAAAAAACAAAAAAGGGGGAGTATTGGCCTAACCCCCCAGGAAAAATTGGATAAGGTAATGTATGTTTTAAATTTTTTAAATTTGATGGAGGAATCAGAGACTCACACAAGCAGAAGTCCTGTCGACCGACATTTTAAAACAGATTCCTCATCACTGTCACAACAGAAAGCTAAAGTTTTGTACCGGGACCCACTAACGGAAAAATGGACGGGCCCTTTCCCCTTGATCACCTGGGGGAAGGGCTACGCCTGTATTTCAGGTTCAGAAGGACCAAAGTGGGTCCCTGCCCACCGGATTAAGATCTTCCAAGGCTAAAGGAAAAGAACACCCATGCATCCGTCTCACCTCTTCTGGATCATCGCCATCGGACTCGTCCCTCTCTGCACCACAATACCGCTGCGGGAGTGGATGAGTCAACC